GCCTGTTGAGCCCCCAGTTTCTGTCTTGGCTGGCCTGGATGGCAGCAGATCTGGTAGCTGGAGTGATGGAGCCGGGCAGGGGTCAGCCTGGGCAAGCTGGGCGCTGCCTCTGGAGTCTTGGGCTCTGCTGACCAGTGCCCCAGCAGCCGGGAGAGAGCCCCACACTGGCTGGAGGGGTGAGCTCGGGGACCCACCCTGCTCCCTGGCACCTTGTCCTCTTCTCATTCCGAGCTTGCTGCCTACCAAGGGACACAGGCAAGCACCCCCAGCAGCGCCAGGAAGAGGGAGGGCAGAGCAGGGCCGAGGAAGGAGCACTGTTCTGGGAGTCAGGAATTCTCGACTGCCTGTGACCTGGGCGACTGTGAGAGGGTGTGGGCTCCCCAGCGGGGCCCTGAGACCCCAGGGTCGGGGTGCCACAGCCTCGCAGAGCTGGACTTAAACCCCGCTGCAAGGCCCTGGGTGGGCCTTCACATCCTGCCTGCAGCATGGCCTCGACGGTGCTGATCTCAGCCGCCGTGGCTGTGAGGTAGAAAGAGTGCGAGATGCCAAGTGCTTCGCGCAGGGCCTGGCACTAAGGTGGGAATAACTTCTGTTTGTGTCCTTGGCATCATTGAACGAACATTTTGCCCCATCTTTCTCCGGAGGAAGTGGGGGCCGCGTGAGGGAAGAGATTTGCAAGCTTGCCCAACCTGGAGCCCGGATGCCCTAACTGCAGGCTGTGCTGTGCAACCCTCAGCCCAGCAGCTACGGTGCCCTGTCCTGTGGCTTCCTGCACCACTGCCCCCTGCAAGAGGTGCCTCTGTGAGGCTTGCCAAGGGGACTGTGCCGCTCCCTGGCCCTCACTTACCCCTCAGCTGCACGCAGGCCTGGCACTCCTGGCTGCAGTGAATAACCCAGTCGCCCTCCCCCCAGACCCTCGGCAGGAGCCCCTGCCTCCTGGCCCACTTTCCGTGGACTCTGTGCCCCATGCTTGCTACCCGTAGTGGGACAGGCCCCGCGGGGACCCTTTGCAAAGCACGCTTTCTGTGGTGCCTGCCCAGGTCCTGCAAGACCCCGCAGCTCAGGCGTATGCCTGTGAGTATGTGGGAGGGCGGCGGATGGTGGCATTTGCGTTGCTGTCACAATGCCACCGGAGCTCCCATCACCCAAGAACTCAGCTCTGGTTTCCTTTGTGCCTACCACAACCATGGGTGCCTGCTCGAGCTCCCATGCCCATCCTCATTCTGGCACGTTGGAGCCGTGTTCAGCAACCTTCAGGGCTCCTACCCCTGGCCGCCAGCCTGTGGCCCACAGGCCGTGTGCTTTGGGGCCACATGCGTGTTGCAGATGGGAGCACACGTGCTGCTCTCAGGCCTGCCATGGCCCTGGGGAGTGGGGAGTCTGGCAGGAAGGTTCCCCTGATGCAATCATCGCTCATTCTCTCAGTGCCATAGAGACATGGCTGGCTCCTTGCTGCCTGCCACCACCGGGCACAGCTGGCAGCCTCACGGGCACAGGAGAGGCAGTGAATTACCACTTAGCCCTCCTTGGCAGAGTGGCAGTTACACTCAGCACACCCCCGAGCTAGGCTCTCGAAGGTTAAGAATTCATGTGAGTGAGTGTGTGTGTGTGTGTGTGTGTGCAAGAAACTTGCTAAGGGGGTCTCTTCCTCTTCTCCCTCCCCTTCCTCCCCTTCCTGTCCCACCCTCCTTTCCAGCCATCTCTCCACCATCAGGACCCTGCAGCCTGGGACCTGCCAGTCTCCCAGTGCCACCTGCATGGTCCAGACCAGCAGGGGAGGAAGAAGAGACAGACTGAAATACAGAAACAAAAGTGGAGAGGAATAGGGAAGACAGAGAGAACTGAGAAAGAGAGCTGCAAGAGAGAGAAGAAATGGGAGCAAACACAGAGAAGAAAAAGCTGAGCGATGCATGCAGGGTGACCAGAGTGGACTAGGGCTGGGCGCCTACCCCTGCTGCCACACGAGCCACCCTCTGTCCCGGCCATCCACAGGGTCTCCAGCCCTCACAGCCTCCTCCGTGCCCCGGCTGGCTCTCCCAGGGGCCTGAGGCTGCCCCTTCTCCCTGCCACTGGCTCCTGCTGGTGCTGCACTCCTTGTGAGTGAGCAGGGAGAGGTGGTCGGGCCAGCACCAGACGGAACAGGACCATCACCTCCTTTGTTGGGAGTGTTAGAGCTGCATAAACCCGGCCTCACAGCACGTTTGCTCTGTGTTTAACTTGCTGACCTTGAAAGCTGTATTATCACCCTGCTGGCACCTGATGAGTTGGAGGTCCCTGTGACTTCCCGTCCCTGTGGCCCCAGCCCTTTGTTCTATAGGAACAGCTGTAGATGAGGCCTGGCCAACAGGGTGTCCTAACCCTGAGCCAAGCTCCAGCAGGGACTCAGCGCAACAGCACCCTGAAGTGCTGGGACGTGAAGAAGGTGTGTATGCTTCCATGAGCCGGGGAGGGGACTGTGAGGGTCCCTCAGTAATCCCAAGTCCCTAGTTATTGAGTGTTTATATTGCGTCAGTTGCTGTGCTCCTCTCTTTAACCAATGCAACAGCCCTGGGGCCAGGTGTTAGGCAAAGTGGCTAAGTCACAGCTTAAGACACCTGCATCTCAAATCACAGTGCCTGGGTTCGAGTCCTGACTCTGCTTCCAATGCAGCTTCCTGCTAATACACACGCTGGGAGGCAGTGGGGGAGGGCTCAAGTACTTGGCTCACTGCCACCCATACCGGAGACCCAGATGGAGTTCCAGGTTCCTGGGTTTGGCCTGGCCCAGCCCTCCGTATTTTGGCCACTCAGGGAGTGAACCAATTGACAAAGATCTCTCTCTCTCTCTCTCTCTCTCTCTCTCTCTCTGTGTCTTTATCTTGCACATGGAATGAGAGTTAATAAAAATGAAAACAACAGCCCCCGAGGTAGGGAGTATTAAGCACTCAGTTTTACAGCTGAAGAGACTGAGGCCCAGAGCCTGGGAGCCGTGGAGTCCTCTCCCTGGGCCATGGCCGGCTGCCCCCAGTGGTCGCTCGGGCTGCTCCAGAGCTTTCATGCGGGCAGCCATCCCCTCCCCAGGGCAGGCCAGGGAGGGTCCGGGGTAGGAGGGCGGAGCTGCAGCCTTCTAGCTCAGCCAGGTTCCGTGCCCTGCCCGCTGCCCACCGGCTACACGGCCCGGGAGGAGGCCTCTCCTCGCTGCCTCTGAATTGCAACGTTGGCGGCAGAAGCGGGAAGCATATTGTGTGCAGAAACAAAACGGAATGGTTTTTCCTTTTTCTGAAGGTGGTAATGGTGCAATTAGTGGCTGAGCCATTACCCCCTCCTCCCCAGCGTGCCTCCCCTCCTCTCTCTGCCTGCCTTCCTCCCTCCCTCCTCTCTCCTCGGAAAAGCGGCTGAATGGGAGCACTCACCCCACATTCTCCAACCTTCGTCTCCCAGGAGGAAAGTGGGGGGGGGGTACCTGGATGTCTCCAGGGACACAAGACTTTGAGTAGTGAGCTGGGCACTGGCTGGGGCTGGGGAATACCCATGTCCAGCACGTGAGGTGACCTGTAAGGTGTCTTGGAGGTTAAGAAGGGGTAAGGTAGAAACCCAGCGGATTTGGATGCTGGAGGGCAGCTCAGCCTGGCAAACCATGCACTGGACTAAGGCACCCTTTTCCCTGAGTGGAGGAGGTGGCAGCATAGAGCCTGAGATTGTAAGCGCAACCTAGAGTGATGGGCTGGAAGTGGTCCCATCCCAAACCCCGCTTTTCCTCTTCTGAAAACCAAGAAGAAGCCAAGTGTTCAGATGCTTCCCAGAGTCCTTCCCAACCCTTAGTCCACTCCATCTTCTCAGCCTCCATCTGCAGGGGAGCTGACAAGGAGCTGGAGGCTCAGAGAAGCTCAGTGACTCCCCCAGGGCCACACAGCCACTAAATGCTGGAGTTGGTTGGGCTCACATCCCAAATCTTACACTCCAGTCTCCGTTCCTTGCTCCCCAGGCCTTAGAGTGAGGTCTTGAGGCTGTCGGTTTGGCTGATGCCCCAGAGGATTGCACTTGGCCGGGAAGGTGCCCACTTTCCTTGGGAAGGGAGACTTGCAGGCAGGCCCATGGTCATTGGCCTAGCTCTGGGTAGGCCAGGTCACACTTGCCTCCCCACAGCTGCTTCTGGCTTCTTTTACCTTGACTTGAAGCACAGGCAGAAACTGGGACATGAGCCCCAGGAGACCAAATTGCTGTGGTCCCTCTGGGGGCATGGGGTGGAGGGGAGGTTGTGGAAGAGGCCTCAGGAGGGGACCAACCATCACAGCTGGTGGGGGGGTGGTGGTGAGCAGGCAGCCAGAGCTGTTCCTCCCGAATCCTGGGGTCTCCCCTGTGCATCTCCCCCACGCAAGAGTGCTGGTGTGTTGGATAAGGAGGTAGAAGAGCAGAGAGAGACAGAGTAAAGAAACAAGGGCAGAGGCAAAAGCAAAACAAGGTGCAGGAGGGAACAGAGAGGCTGTTACCGGGACCAGAGCGATCCGCAGAGAGACATCCCAGTGAATTAGCAGTCGTTTCCCTGTGAACCTTAGAACCCAGCTGTTGCCAGGGCAACGGGGCAATACCTGTCTCTCCTGAGGAGGTAAGTTGCCAGGGTAACTACATCCTGTCTTTCCTGAGGACCATCCTGGGATGTGGCACCCGCTGGCCATCACCATGGAAACTGCCTCTTTGCCCCACTTCATCCCATCCTGTCTGCTCGAAGGCCCCCGCAGTTGGAGGTGGGGGAGGCAAGAAGGAAGAGGATCACTTGTGGATGAAGTTTGTTCTCTGCCCCCTCCTGCGGCCCCTCCCTCGGCTCCACACCCTGGGGGGTGCTGGGTTCGTCCGCCCCCGGGGCACTCACAGGCCTGCAGTATTATGTGTGGTAGGGAGGGCCACAGCGTCCAGGAGCAGGTTTCGCAGTGGAAGGCAGGCAGGTGTTGGGGAGGCAGTTACCGGGGCAACGGGAACAGGGCGTTTCGGAGGTGGTTGCCATGGGGACCTGGATGCTGACGAAGGCTCGCGAGGCTGTGAGCAGCCACAGTGCCCTGCTCAGAAGCCCGGGGCTCGTCAGTCAAGCCGCTTCTCTGTTTGCACTCAGCAGCACGGGCAGGCGAGCGGCCCCCAGTTCCGGGAGCAGAGCAGGTGCACCCCAGTCCTGGTCCTACAGCCCCAAGCCTCGCCTGCCCGCCCGGTACCAGGATGGCAACCATCACCTGCACCCGCTTCACGGAAGAGTACCAGCTCTTCGAGGAACTGGGAAAGTGAGTTGTACCCCAGGGAGTCCTGGAGGGCACTCAGGGAAGGGGGTGTCAAGGTCTCAGGCTGGTGGGGGCGGGGCGTACCGGCAGTGCTCAGGGCATTCCTGTGCACACAGTTGAAGCCAAGCTACATGGGCTGGGGGGCACCTGCATGTGCACAGGGTGCCCAGAGTTAGGCATGGGCATGTTTGCAGGTACACAGATGTGCCAGGCCAGCTGGCTGAGTGTGTGTGTGTGTGTTTTGGGGTGATGGATGAACAGTGTATGTCTGGGAAAACACACATACACATGCACATAAGTAGACATGACTTCGGCATGCACAGATTCTTAGAAACTCACACAGGGTTAAAATAAAGAGGTCGGGGGGGGGGTTCTGAGTCAGCTGCATCTAAAACGGGAATCTCCTCTAGTTTTGCTTGAGGTGGCTATTTGGCTTTCACTTGGATACCTCCAGTGACAGAGAGCTCACCACCTCCCAGGTAGTGCTTCTAGATTTTAGACACCTGCAGCGACAGTGCCGAGTGGCCAACTTCTCCCTGTAAGCACATCCCTTCCCCATGTCCTCTTTCCCAGCTCTTGTCAGGAGCGAGGGCACTGGTACAGTAGGAGTTAATGCCTGAGCCGCTGAGGAGGCTTCCTGGGTGTTGGGATGAAGGGAGGGGCACCCGGGCAAGCTGGGGGGGATACTGCAGTCCCAGGGGCTGGCGGAGCGAAGCGGGCAGCAGCTCTGGTCTTGGGCAAACTTGCGCAGCCCAGAACTCATTTTCTGCCTCTGATGAGTGATGTAGAGAGGACAGAGTGAGGCTGAGGGGAGAAGGGAGCCTCTCAGGGTAGCCCAGTGGGCTGTGGAGTGCCAGGGAAGATTCCTAGATTCCCCCAGCTAGGTTTGTGGAGGATCCCGGGGTGGATCTGGGAATTGGGGTGCAGTTTGGAGGCAGGATCTGCCTGCCCTGTGGGCAAAGAAGCGCCAGGGCCCAGGTTGGCTCCTGCTGTGGCTGCAGCAGCATGGGCAGAGGGGCCCTGTAAGCAGGTGTGTGGTGCTGTGAGATCTGGGGGGGCCGCTAAGTGGTGTTTTCTAAGGACTTTGGAAGGGAGTTGATTGTGTTGTGTAAGGACTGACTCTGGCATGCACTTGCACACACTGAAGGGTGTGCAAGCATTCATACGTGTGCACGAGGAAGAGGTGTTGGTGTGTGCTTCATGTGCAAGGCCTGGAAACTCAAGTGTGCCCTGGAAGGGTGCGTGCCTGTGAGTGGCACAAGGAGTGCCAATGACCAGGGAGTGTGGATGCGGTCACTGTGCATGCGCATGTGTGGCAGGTCCGAGCTGTGTGCACCTCAGGCACAAGTGTGAGGTCTGGGAGTGTGTAACGAGGCACATATGAGACACAGGCTCAGTGGTGTTGCTGTGAGGTCTGGACACGGGTCTGTGTGAGGTCTGTGAAGGTGTGCATGCATGTGTGCATGTGTGAGGCCTGGGCTCACAGGCTCATGTGGGAGTGTGTGTGCGTGTGTGTGTGTGTGTGTGTGTGTGTGTGAGCTCATGCTGGTGTCTGCATACGTGTGGGAGGTGGGCCTATGGCTGCCTGCACACACGCACTCGCACGCCCCAGCAGACGCGCATCCATGCGCAGACGTGTGCTCACTCCTGTCTGCAGACACCCTGCCTGCCTGAGGGTGTTTGTCTGTGGGCAGCGGGGACAGGGATGCGACACTCAGGGCTGTGCTGGAGGATGGAGCTGTCGCTGAACTCGTGCAAGGGCTCCTCGCCAGCTTGTCCCAGTCCCACCTGGAACCTGAGAATCCCCTCACCAGGAGCTGCCGGGCCCTGGCAGGACTGCGTCACAGGGTCCAGGGAAACAGAGGCGAGATGTGACTCAAGTGCTCAAAGTGAAAAGAAAAGTGAGGTTCTGCCCCCAGAGCAAACGGGGCTCACGGGGACTAGGTTTTGCGAGGGTGACTGAGCACAGACATCCTTCATGAATCTTCTCGGCTCTGTTGCCTGCCTCGGCTCTGGGAGGTCCAGGGCGGGGGCAGAATCTAAGGGGACAGGGAGCCCTGGTGTGGCCGTGGCAGCAAAACCCGAGGGTGGCAGGCATGGCTAGGCCCTGTCTAATCAATTTCAGATTCTTCCTTCCAGAACTGTCCATGCTCTTAACCTTTTTTAGGTCACATTTTCCTCCAGGAATCTGATGGAAGTCCAAATCCGCATTCCCCAGAAAAGCGCACAAGCCTACACGTGTCGCGTGTAATGTCAGGAGCCTCCGGCACCTGGGGCAGGCTGGGCACTGGCCTTAGGTTGAGGATGCTTATCTTGGAGGAAAGGAGGGGGTGGTCTGGCTTCAGACTCGGGGATCTGTGTTCTAGAGGCTGGGGCACATCACCGAGGAGGCGGGGGGCTCCTGTGCCCAACAGCTCAGGGAGCGGGCAGGGAGGGGCAGTGCCCAGGGTGGCCTTTAGGGGCACAGGCTCCAAACTCGCCACCCATTGCTCTGTAGCACTGAAGGGGCTCCCATAGGCAGCCATAGGCCCACCTCCCACACGTCCCTCTGCCCACCTGTGAGCTGGTGCGTGCCAAGATACAGCCTCGCGCCTGGCCCTCAGTGGGCCTCCAGGGAGGGAGGAGGGGTGACCGTGGCTGCTGCCACAGGCTGGGCACGCAGAGAAAGTGGGAGGTGGCTGGCTCCACAGTGACCTTTTGCTGCAGCTGGCAAAGCTGGAGGCAGGAGGGAGAGAGATGACCAAAGCTCCCCACGGCTGGTGGCGGGGCGGTGGCTCCTCTTGTGTTGGCAGTGTGGGCCCTGTGCTTCAGCTGATGGCCCTTGGCTGCCACCAGACTGGATGCCACAGTCACCACACAGAATTGGAGTCCCCTCCCAGCGCCCACTTCAGACCACTTGCGGGTGACCAGGAGGGGCCCTGAGCTTCCTGCTGCAGGGCACTGCCCCGCTCTGCCGGAGAGGAGGGCAAGTGCCTCTCCAGGGCTTCCTGGCACCCTGCCCGGTGACTGCCGCCACCTGGCAGTCCAGCGTGCGCCTGGCTGCTGGTGAGAAAGGACCTGCCTCTCCCCTGCCCTGGTGGGCAACTGGCTGGAGTCCAGGCACTGAGCAGGGGTCTCTGGGAGCTCTTGATGTTACAGCACCAAAGACCCATGGGAGAAGTGAAAGCAGAAGAGCTGAGGCTTGACTGCACGTCCCCTAGGGGGTTGGGGTGGGGCTGTCCCTTGGGACCCAGAGATGAGCTCATCCCTTCCCCCTTGACCTGAATTTATTCTCCCCTGGCCCCCACTAGGGCTGAGAGAAGAGTGGCAGCCTAGACGGAGGGCGCAGAGGCCTCCTTGGGTGCTGCTTATACCTGCTCCAGGTGTCAGGAGGGCCTGGCCCAGAATCTCTGCGAAAGGCAGGAGTGCTGATGGGGGCAGGGTGGGGGAAGCACCAGAGGGCCCTGGGAAGGGGTCCAGTTGGAGGAAGTGGAGGAGGAAGAGGAGGAAGAGGAGCAGGAGGAGGAGGAGGCGGAGGTGGAGGAGGAGGAGGAGGCGGCCTCCTCCAGCCTCGGACATTTTCGGCTTTGGTTCCCACCCCCGGCAGAGCCTACCCTGTGTCTGCCTGAGTAGTCAGCCAGCTGAACCAGCAGCCTTGGGAAGAGATTTTACTTGAGAGCAGGAGAGGGAGGGAGGGCAGCTGGAGAGCACTCGGCCCACTCTTTTCTCTCTAGAAACAGGGAATGGGCTCCAGTGGCGTTGGCATCAGGGGAGGGTTGTGGGGTCTGCCGCTGGCCAGCAAGGGTGATGGAGAGAGTAGGAAGGGTGGCCCCTGCGCCTGTGCCCCCTCTTGCCTCCATGGCTTTGTGTTATGGGCCAGGCTTGGCTGCAGATTGGAAGGTGGCCATGTGGCCAGAGGCAGCTCGGTGCCCTGGGGAACCAGGGCCCCAAGTATCCAAGACCTGTCCTGGGGCCCGAGCTCTGATGTGCGTAGAAGATGCCTAGCAGTGCTGCCTGTCCCTGGCAGAGTGGTTAGAGGGGTGGGCAGTGGCACCCTGGAGAGCCAGCACCCTGGGTCCAAGGCCCCACCCAGAGGGGAGGTGGTGGGCTTTTATTCCTCGGTGCACATAGCCCCATCCGTGGGCTCACTTCGGAGGGAGAGGGTCCTGGCTCGCTCATGCATTTTATAGATGAGAAGACTGTGGCTTGTGGAGCTGGGCTGAGGTGGCGGAGCTGGCTCTGGGGCTTGCGTCCAGGTCTCCAGCACCCGGCCTAGGGAGGAAGGTTGCTGGGGCTGTATCTGGGGGACATCCTCCCTCTTTCCCGCTGACAAGGGAAGAAGGCCTTTGTGTGGGCGGCAAGCTCTGAGCTGTCACTCGTTTTCCAATCATGATTCTGCTGCCAGTTTACTGGGCCATCCCAGGTGCGTCGCTTGTCCTTTGTGTGCCTCAGTGTTGCCATCTGACAAATGGGATTCATAATACCTCGGTAGGTGGAAATGCCCATTGGGTTGTGACCCTCTGTAGAGGGCACATGTAGGAGATGATCTCTGGCATCAGAAATGGAAGGGCCGTAGATGCAGGCACAGTGGAGCCAGCGTCCAGAGAGCAGTGCTTGTCCAGGGTCACGGGCCAGAGCAGCGGATGGGCAGGGGCCAGAGGCCCCAGGATGGCAGTTAGAGGGCAGGACCTCCAGGAGGAGGTGGCAGGGACAGGCGAGGGGCGGCCGTCCCCTCCCCCGCCCCCAGCCATCAGCGCGGCAGGCACGCACATGTTCTGGTGCATGCCGCAGCCCTCCGCCCCCACGCAGCCGCCCCCACACAGGCTGAGCCACACTGACACTCGGCTGAGCCGTCCTCCCTCCTCCCTGCCTCCCTCCGCCAGCCCGGTGACACTGCTGCCAGCATCCCCTGCAGTCTGGAGCCACAGCCCTCTCTGTGGGCTGAGGCCACAGTCCATGGCTAGTGCACACGCACATACACACACACACACACACACAGCTGCACACCAGCTCCCCGGAGCACC